CCCTTCGATTCCGGTAAAAACGTGCTAAGCTTTCGTCCGTCATATGACGGATTTCGAGACCGCCAGTAGCTATTGAAAAAGGGATTGTTTCCATTTTATTTCGTTTCAGCTGACGAAGCACCATAGTAGACTTCAAGCTTCCATTAAATTGTGTATATATTAGCATCCCTAAAGCAATTCTTATTCAAATTACTACTGATATACTACTTATCGGTTGTGCAACACACAAAGTTTGCGCATAAAGTAGGCCCTTGAATGCCTTTGTGATATGAATAGGTAAAAGCACCTATCAACACAACTTAAGGGAATCTGAAAAGGCCGCTTCTGTAGGCTGGTCCTTGCCTTGCAGATGCGTCCATCTTTGGCTTGATCTGTAGCTGGGCGGACGTGTGAATGGGCGTGGACGAGGAGGGGTGCATTGAGGTTAGGCTTGACACAGACGACTTTCGTGTCTTCCACAAACTGGTACATATTACCATCGTCTCGACTCAACTGGCTGTGCTGTGGAAAACATGTTTTTGGCGTGTTAGACGGCAATAACTTGCTTCGCCTTGCGCCAGAAAGAATAACTAAAGCCACACGTTTCGCGTCTGTGTTGGGCTGCAGTTGGCGTCGGCTCCAGAGATTGAGAGCCCCCTTCTGAGGTGGCAGACTCGAGAGGGCGAGCGAGCAGAGTGCGAAAGAGTGAAATTGTAATGATGTGAGCTCATTAAACATGCACGAAACCGGTGTCCACTGCCCGACCAGTCGGTCTGAAGGGGATTTCGCAACTCGCTCATTAATTACGAAAATAGGGAAAATGTCCACCAAATCTCTTAGTTCCCCTTTTTCCAACGGTAGACACCTCTTTCTGGGCTGATATGACTGCCAATTTGAGGCGAGGCCGAACGGTGGACAAATTCACGTCGTAAAACCGTCTGTTTAACCATTTTCACAACCTCACTTTGGCTCTTACTTTCTGATGCGTCGTCTGTACTCTTGCTTTTGGTCGCCAGCACGAAAAGACCAGATGGATGGATGGATTTAGATAAACTATGAGATGTATTCACCCTATTTCGTCTAGGGTGATGAAGAACTGGTGGTAGAATCTTCACACAATCATATGAGTTGAGCTGACGTTTCCATTCAATTTCACATAGCCTTGCTTTCCCAAAAGTTGTTCTCATCTACTACTACTACTACTACTACTACTACTACTACTACTACTACTACTACTACTACTACTACTACTACTA